AATGCAGGCAGAAGAGCAATGCGAGACCTTAACCAGGTGCAGCATTCCCACAGCATCCCGGGTCAATCCTCACAAGCAGTCCCTAAGCAAGGTAAGCTCAGAAAGGTGGACAAAAAAGGATGCTTACAGATTTCCCTTTTGTAGTTCCCTAGACTTTTAAGACTGTACTTGCAAAGGAGGACATTTACAAAATAAAAGGAAATGAAATAAACAAACCCACGCCATCTCAAAAGCCAGGTCATTTTAGCCAACCTGATTGACACTGCAGCTTAACAAAGCCAGAATTCAGCTGTACTGGGACTTCACGTTACTCGCTTCTGCTGCTCTGAAAAGGGCTAAAAGCAGAAATTGCTTATAGAATCTGCTCCTCTAAGGTGGAAGAAAAGCTGCTCAAAATGCTAACAATGATCAATTAGCTGCCTTTAACTCGGTGGGATCAGAGTTTGAACACTATTTTAATAGAGATAAAAAAGATGGTCTCTGATTTTGTTGCCATCCTGATTCAGCCAATGAGTCAGTCATCGCTAGGTTGCAACAGGGGCCTTCATCCTTCACCTGCCCAGGATCTTCTGTGTAAGCAGCTGCGCTTGTAAAACTATTCTGAATCTAAATGACCTTACAGATAGCTGGAAATTCGCACATCTAACTGTGGCCGGTGTGATGTTAAAACCAAGCTGGTCAGAAGCACTGCAGACAACCAAAGGCATCTCGATCTGACTCCAGTGCAAGAGAGCTTGGAGGAGCACTGATGGGGACTGTGCGGCCGCTGACCCTGGCACCATGTGCTAACCTCTACCTCACTGTCTGCTCAGTCTGGGCTTCCACTTCCTCTGGGAGAATGGTCATCGGCCGGGGCCAGAAGCCAAGAGGATTTGGATATCCAGCACTATCTAGCTCTTTTGCAACTCTAAGATTCTGTTTCTCAATATTGCAAGGATTGTTTGCTAAATCCCTCTAACTGAAAAGAAAATCATTATGTAAAAAACAGAAATAAGGTAAGCATCCTTTACATGCCTTGTTACCATGCAGCAATTAACTGGACCACTAAGGGTTAATTCTGATCCTGAGTGGGCCCAATCAGGTTTGTTTCTGCCATCTTATTAGGTTAAATAAATAGAAACTTCTTGCAATATCCATCCACAATGATAAGCAATTCCCACTATAATGGATGGCTAATATATAAATTCAGCCCACATCAGTTTTGTGTCAACTAGCAAAAACAGAAACAATGGAAACTAGACAGCCATGCCTCCGCATAGGTCAACAACCAAGGTTATCTGTATTCAATTACTGGTATCTGCAAACTTGCATACTGTCAGCTGATCGTAGACTAAATGAAAACTTATCATGCACAGAGGCAGCAAATACATTTATTTGAAGCAGGCATCATATTAGTTCACTGGTTTGACTGTGGTTAAGGGAAAAAAGGGGGTTATCAGTCTTTTGGGAAATTCTTTCAAATATAACCTGCAGCAAATATCTAAAATTGGGGATTATCTGTGTTATAAATCTTTGTTCAAAAAGTAGAAAAGGAACAGAAATTACTCCGTAGCCCTCTAAGACGATAAATTATATTATTTAACAATAGATAAACTTAGGGCACCTTTCCTGTGGAGCAGCCCTATTGTGAATTCGGCTTTAATCTGCTTCACCTTAACATCTGTTCAGTGGAACCAAAGATTTGGCTGTTTTGGACGCAGACAATAATTTGTTTGTTAACCGCTTCGCTGGAACAATACATCATTGCAGAAAACAAAGCCTACCAACACAACGCGTTTTTATCTGTTTCCTCTATCTGTGTTCCTTTTTCCACAAGTGCAAGTTCAGGTTTTTGAACTGTTTTCCTAGTGATAATTTGTGATGCTGTGAGTTTCATAACCCTGGAAAAACATTTTTTTTTTCAACCTCCTTTTTCATCTTTGACCAACAGATGTTCTGTTCAAAACGTGTAAGTACTCATGAGGTACGTACCAGCAAATTATAATTGCTAACGCCCCTGTGGAAGGAAAATGTCAATAAATATTTGTTATCACTGGCCTGTTTGGAAACAAAGGCATTTGCTTAACAGAAGTTCACATGCCAAACCTTTTTATGCATCTTTTCCAGCAGTCCATTCAATTAGACATCTAACATTTTGTTTCTTTTCAGAAGAGGAAGTGAAAATAACCTCACAGAAGCAAAAATAAAGCATAAAAGCATGAGGGCATCCTGTATTCCATAATCCATAAAGTGCAAAATAGCACTTTAGCTCCTTTCAGGGATCTGAATGCGGCCACAGAGCTGAGCTGTGATCCAGCTCCAGCACTTCACCACTGCACACCAAAGCAGCAATCAAGGGTAGAAATCTAAATGCATGGCACTGTAATGCAGAGAAATGCCCCATTAACATGTGACTGCTGACAACTGCAATCCATACCTATGGATAATCTCCCCTGGCCAAATGACTACAATCTTAGTCATTGCAGACTTAACTGCAACTCCTCTAGCGAGACATACAGAG